CCCCAAAACCCCAAAACCCCAAAACCCCCCCAGATGAATTATAAATCCATTTTGAATAGTTATTAAATTAAGATTAACTAATATAAGTTATAATTTGCTATCATTCTTTTTACTTTGGACTTCAATCATGAGAAATGTTTTGATAGATGTTTCTTGATCATTAATGAGTCCATTTTTTCCCTGTCTTTTATCTTTTCTTTTTGGCATCCTCTCTTAACTTCCTATCATATCTCTATCTTTCTTCTAGTATCACTTTCCATTTCTATAAAAAAGTTAAAAATTCATAAACAGTTTGAAAAGAAGTAATTCATATTTAAAATATATATATCTTTCTTACCTGTCCTGTATCCTCATCTGTATTAATTAAATGTACCAAGTCCTCTCTAAATCTGCAATCACTTGGCAATGGATTTTAAGAAGGTCTAACCTAAAGTCCCTTAAAATCATCTATGTGCCAGTATTTAACACCATCTATATAGAGATCTTCTGTCCAGTGTCCATTTACCAGACATATATAGTCAGTTCCTTCATTTAATTTACCTCTATTTTTCTTGTAGTCGATGTTGTCTCTGTTACTTATTACACCTTCAATGTAGTCTACTCTTTGATCATCGTTTAATGCTGATTTGCCTCCACCCATTCCAAAGAGACTTTTAAACCCTGATTTCTTATCAGGGTTGAAGACTATTTCACAAAATAGATTATTTTTTGTATCTTTAATTGTCATTGTGTCATAGATATTAAAAGCTCGTACTCCATATAAAATTCCTGATACTTCAGTGATTGGAGATCTTATTTCTATTTTCTATCCACCTTTGAACTCAACTATCAACGGTCCAAACCCGTGTCCTCCAGCTGAGTTGGCTCCAATAACTTGTCGATATTCAAGTGAACCATATACTTTGAAATCTTGGTGATGAGTTGACCATAAGTTATAATATGAGATTGGTGGGTGGTGACTGATTTGTTCTAGACCAATTTTATAATTTCCTAATCTTGCTTCATATGTTTCGCCTAGAATGGGATTGAACGGTTTCCTCATTTGTGCAGTAAACTATCTAATACTAACTGCATATGCAACAGCTAGTTTGAATCTCTAGAGTGAAGAATTAAAATCTTTTTAGGATATAGCTGCTGCTTTTTCGAAATAATGAGGTGCCATTTTCATAAACATCGCTATTTTTTCTAGAAAAGACTTTGAGTCAAACACCTTAATTGGAAGACTAATTTGCAAGATAGATTTGCCGTGCATTACATTGAACCCCATTTGCTTAATGAAATGTGACATCACTCCTCTTTGCTTTTTGAGTAGTTCTTCATTTGTGAAAATCAGGCCATGCTTAGGCTCTCTTTTGAAATCATTTTCTTCAAAAAATTAGTTTACTTCCCCTTTTCTTAAAGTTAGATGTCTAACCTCTTAGTCGTAGTCGTAGCTAGAGTCTTCAGAATTATTTTCATCTTCTGCATAAATCATATTTTGGTTCACTCTATCATAATCATAATCTTAATTTCTCCCCCTTAAATCTGTGTTACGTTAATTATATTTTCCAAAAACATCTTATTCAACTTAGCCTCCAAAGGTTGAGTTATTATAATTTTTTGATTGCTTAATTTCAGAATTTTCTTAAATCTGGCTTTGCATTTTATATTATTATTATTTTTATTCAGTTTTATTAATAGAGCTAAGATTGTTTTTGATTGCTGTATTTTAGTCCACACTATCCTCTAGGAGCAACTGCTCTAGATTCTTTTAGTTAACTTATTGCTGTGAAGATGCTTAATTTTTTAATCTTTAGTTTTATCTTCTCTCTTAAAATTTGTTTGGGTCTAAATCATCTCTTTATAGGATTCCTGATTTTTGATAATGATCTATTCCTTTTTCGACATTTGATGATTACTGTTTGATTGGCTGGAAAGAAGTGCGTCTCTAATCATAGATAGCATTATTTCTATTATTTCCTGATGGGCTTCTTGACAATCCACTCTGAGTTGGGGATTTTTACGAATTCCTTGAAGACCTATCTTAGCCAGATCTCTGAGAATTACGATTGACCTCAGTATCTTCTTTAAACCCAAGTTTTTAGAGTCTCTTACTATCAAAATTATTTCTTTCTTGTGTTTACAGTTTCAAATTATCCCAGTCATGTTATTAACCTAGTGATGACTACTTTTTCTTCGTAAGTCTATCAGAATTTTCAATTTTCAGATTTGGTTCCTTACTATCAAGTAACTTTTTTAGAAAGTCTTAGTTCTCCTAATACTTAACAGACGTTCTTTAGCTTTGCTGAATTTGCATGCTTTACTATCTTTCTAAATTTTGATTTTGATCAGGAACCTTAACCACTTGTGAGTAATTCTTCATACCTTCGTAGTGTGACTTTATTTATCTGAGTAAGATATTTTAGAGTTAAGCTTTATTTGAGGATCCTCTGCAACAAGGTCTGCACTTTAATGAATTTTTAATAAGAGATAAAGTGGTAGACTCTTATATATTCTATTTGGGAAGTTAAATGCACAAGTACTGCTTTATCTCAATCTGTAATAATATTTGTCAAAATAAGAGTTATGTCTTACCTTATTGAATGGCTTCTACTTTGCAATTATGAGATTTAGAAGTATATTGTCTTTGGGTATATCCTTAGCACCAACTCCACTCGTATTATTGAATGTTTATTCAACAAGGTAGAATAATGTATCTGCTTTAACTTCTTATTAGTAATTTATCAGTAATTCCTGACTTAAAGTACCACCAGATATATTTTTATCACTGGAGTTTGCATTTGCCTTTTTAATTTTATTGTAAATTTTAGCACTACTGCCTGAAAGCATTTAGATGATCTTTGAGGATTATATATTAGGATCCCATAGCTTAAGCCTTTCAGGTTCGTCGTATATTTTCATTACGGTTTTGATATTTGAAGATTCCAGATGATAGTATGATTTGAATATGAGAATATTATTCTTATTTTTTACTTGCTATTTCTGGGTTTATGTGTCTATCTCCATTTTATTCTAGAATGTTTCAAGATCTTCACTTGCATATACTCTCAAATCTAAAATAAATCAATTCGATAAATCTTACTGTTCTTATTGTAGACTAGGGTGTCTGTATCCTCCTTAATCCTAAGCAGGTCTTTACTTTGTTTTGTGAATAAAAGCTTAATAATTAGTTGTAACTATATTGGAGCAAGATCCCAAGGATTTTATGCTCCCCTAGTTAAAATGATTGAGGGATCATTAAATTTCTTGAATGTGATTTTGTTTAAGCTATTTGAAATCGGACTCAATGAACTATTTCTTTATGCTTTTTTTAACTAGTCTTCAGGTATTTTTGTGTTTAGAATTTCTATAATCTTAGCTTAAGCATTTTCTTAACTGATAATTGAGTTGTTATACCTTTTCCTTCTCGATCTCCCGTCATTCATATCAGTACTAATAATAGACTCCTTATTCATGCTGAAAACACTATCCTTGACTGATTGTCTATAATCTTATTATAATATACTCCCTCTAAAGTTCTTTGAATCAAGCACGTTTACATTGACACTACCCTCCTTGTTTTTGTTCATCGTAGATCTAGCATATTTGTCCTCTTCCTCAGAATTACCTCTTTCACTTAAAGGACTTAATGTTCTTTCATAGAGAAACTTATTAGGCTGATTCATAGCTGTCCTTTTAGATAGTCTATCTCCAAGTTTTGGCTTTACTTGCGATTACTATTTTTGCTTAGGTATCTTAGTCTCTTCTTTAGCAAGATCTGATCCGAATGGTACTTAAATTGAGTCCTGATTGAAAGACTAAATTGATTGATTATTTAAAAATTTCATATGCTAAGGGCCTCCAAATGACATTTCCACTGGCTTAGTACTTTACTAATCTTTCACAATCAATTTTTACTCTTCATAGTGAGAACCTATGTTTTATTCTCTTTGACTTTGACTCTTTCTCATTTGAGGTAATGGAGACAAGTCCTATCTTTTGTTGTTATTATCGTTTTTATTGATAAATGCAGCCATATCTTGATCTGCTTTGACATCATCTATTAAAGTCTTGTATTCCTTTGCCTAGCTAAAGAAATCCTGTCTGATTCCTGAAGGAGGGCCTTTTGGCTTATTAATCTCAATTGGCATTGTTGCTTGCTTTTTTATATTGGCTGGACTTTCTTATTAAAGATAAGAACCTCTAGGTGATTTATTCAAATTTGGGGTACTCTAACTACTTTAGATGCTGCTTATTTGACTTGATCTCCTTGAATGCTAGTCAGCCATAGCCTTTTACTTGGTGATATCTCTTATCTTTTCTATCAAGTCTTACCATTCTAAGGCTTGATTGGAATCATCAAATCCAAGTATTAAATTGAATAAGCCACTATCATTCAAGTTGAACATAAGATCTAGGCAGTATTTCTCCTTTACTATTTGTATCTTTTTTAATACAGCTTAACCATCGATTATAAATGGACCCATAACCACTTTTTATTTCTAAAAGAATCAGAAATATATAATATTATATACCTTGTTATCATAGTATAATGTGAGTAAAAGATTGATGATATCACCATAAACCTTGACCCAGCTATTTTTGCTCTTTGCGAACTTGTAAATGTATCCTTATTTCTAGTAGTCTTTAGATTCCTTAATTTTCAAGAATTCGTCTAGGCTAGTACCCACAGAAGCAGTGTTGATTTTAGAGGACTGAATTAGTATAAGATTAATTGATTAATTTTACCATAAGTATTTGCCAATTAGGATATTTCTTATCTAGAAGCATTATTAGCGATTACTTTGCTTCTTGCTAACTCATCTTTTGTTTTGTTTTCCATGCTTCTACATATGCTATCCTATTTTGATTGAATAAATTATGGTTTTAATGATTAGATATTATTCTTAAACATTATAGCCTATTGCTTACATTTAACTATCGTCAATCATTTCTCTTTTAAAGTCAATTTTATTGAGGTTACTGACATAATCTCCATGCTAAGATTACTTTTTCAAAGCGAAAACTTCAATTTCAGTCTGCTTTTCAATGAACTTAACACCATCTATACAAAAGATTTAGGGTGATATGAAATCTCTATATACCAAGAAACTTGAGTGCACTTTCATACTACTAATTTAGGTTCATTTTTATGTCTATTTTATAAGATATATTATTATAATTTAATGATTTGTATCTCGATAAATCTGATCATATCAGCTTATTAATACTCCGGGGTTTTGGGGTTTTGGGG